ACCGTCTCTTCCCCTACCGCACTCCTTCCCTCCCCCCTCCCCCGGACTTCCTTGTACCGGTTCCCCCCCCGGTAGACCCCCTCCCCCCTCAGGTTCCTGCCCCCTCAGGTGTGTCCCAGGTAGACGCCGTTGACCCGGTCGAGGTTACAGGTGACTCTGGTGCTGCTGCGGGAGCTGAGCCTGGGGGTGCTGACTCTGGGGGTGCTGTGCGCGGGGGTGCTGAGCCTGGGGGTGCTACTGCTAGGGGTACTGGGCCTGCGGGTGCTACTGCGGAGAGTGCGGAGCCTGGGGGTGCTGAGCAGGGGGGTGCTGTGCCTGGAGGTGATGGGTCTGGGGGTGCTGGGTCGGGAGCTGCTGAGCCTGGGGGTGCTGCGTCTGGAGCTGCTGAGCCTGGGGTTTCTCCTGCTGCTGCGTCTCGCCGGGAGCCCCTCTCTCCACAGGAGCTGCGCGAGTGGTTCGCTCGCCGCTGGAGGCGTGCTGCTGAGTCTGGAGGTGCTGCTGGAGCTGGAGCTGGAGCTTCTTCGACCGTCGAGGGTGCGGGTGCTGCCGGTCCCGGAGCTGCTGGACCTGCGGGTCCTCCTGGAGCTGGAGGTGCTGAGGGCGTTGGTGCTGAGCCTACTGCTGTTGGTCCTGCCGCTGGAGGTGTGGGTGGCGCTGGTGCTGTCACTGAGGGTGCTGGTGCTGTCCCTGCTGAGTCTGGAGCTGCCGCGCGGCCTCGGCCGTACTTCGTTCCGCTCCTACAGCAGGTTCTTGGTCTTTCTCCTTCGGTAGAGTGTCCACAGCCTGTCCAGTCGCAGTCACTGTTGGAGCCTTCCTCTCCTCTGCCTGCTCCCTCTCCTTACACTGGTCCTACTGGAGGTCTTGCTGAGCGTCGTGAGCCTGCGTCTCGTCCCGCGTCGCCTATTCGTGCTGCTCGCGCTAGTGGTCGCGGTTCGCGTCAGCGTCCTCCTCCTGTCCCTGGCACGCACCGGATGTCTCTGTGTCCGTCCACTGCTCCTCTGCGTGCCCCTTTGCCTTCGCCTCCTGAGTCCTCTCTTCCTGCGCTTGCCGACCCTGAGTCGGACTCTCTTCGCGCTGCCAGTCCTACTGTCACGCGTCTGCTTGCTACTGTCGTCACTGACCCCTCTTTTGAGTCCACTGCTGCGTCTGCTCTAGTCGCTGAGCTCGTTGACTTTGCTGCTCGCTGTCGTCTCGACTACGCTGCTGGTCTTGTTGCTGAGTCTGCGTCTGTCTGTCCTCCGTCCGTCGGGGGTGAGTGTGCTCTTGGCACGGACGTCCTAGAGGACAGACAGGAGGAGTTACAGTGTCTAGCGGCTGCTTCACCTCATCTCGCGTCTGTACTGCTTGCCCCTGAGGGAGACCCGGATGCACTAGACATCCCGACTCCGCGTTCTTACGCGGAGGCCGTAGAGGGTCCCTACTCCTCTCAGTGGCAGGCAGCTATGGATGCAGAGATGGCTTCCTGGAAGTCCACAGGCACCTACGTTGACGCAGTTCCCCCTCCTGGGGCGAACATCGTCAGTGGCATGTGGATCTTCCGGGTGAAGCGGCCGCCGGGCTCTCCACCTGTCTTCAAGGCGCGGTACGTTGCTCGTGGCTTCAGTCAGCGGCAGGGAGTTGACTACTTTCAGACCTTCTCTCCCACCCCGAAGATGACCACTCTTCGGGTGCTGCTGCACATAGCCGCTCAGCGCGACTACGAGCTTCACTCTCTCGACTTCAGCACTGCGTTCCTGCAGGGTAGCCTGCACGAGGAGATCTGGCTGCGCCGTCCACCTGGCTTCACTGGGACTTTCCCTCCTGGCACCCAGTGGAGCCTCCGACGGCCAGTCTACGGTCTCCGCCAGGCACCGCGTGAGTGGCACGACACACTGAGGACTACGCTTGCGGCTCTTGGGTTTGCTCCTTCTACTGCTGACCCGTCGCTGTTTCTGCGCACCGACACTTCACTGCCGCCGTTCTACATCCTCGTGTACGTCGACGACTTGGTCTTTGCCACAGCGGACACTGCTGGACTCGCCTACGTGAAGTCCGAACTGCTGAAGAGACACACGTGCACAGACCTGGGTGAACTGCGCAGCTACCTTGGCTTGCAGATCACTCGGGACAGAGCACGCCGCACCATTACCTTGACTCAGTCACACATGGTGCAGCAGGTCCTTCAGCGCTTCGGCTTCACGTACTCCTCGCCTCAGGCCACTCCTCTGCCTACTCGCCACTCACTCTCAGCTCTGCCTTCGGATGAGTCCGTAGAGTCGAGTGGTCCGTATGCAGAGCTTGTTGGCTGCCTCATGTACCTGATGACCTGCACACGACCTGACCTTGCATATCCTCTGAGCATTCTTGCACGCTATGTTGCTCCTGGGAGACACAGACCAGAGCACATGGCTGCAGCGAAGAGGGTATTGCGCTACCTGTGCAGTACGTCGGGCATGGGGCTTGTGCTTGGAGGGCGGAGTCCAGTGGTCCTTACCGGCCACGCGGACGCTTCTTGGGCTGACGACCAGGCTACGCAGCGGTCGTCACAGGATTACACCTTCAGCCTTGGTTCCGGCTCTGTCTCGTGGCGGTCTACTCGCTCGTCTTCGGTTCTCGGCTCCAGTTGTGAGGCTGAGATCTACGCCGGGGCCATGGCTGCACAGGAGCTTCGCTGGCTCACCTACCTGCTGACTGACCTTGGAGAGCCGCCTCGTTCTCCTCCAGTGCTGTACGTAGACAACAAGGCCATGCTGGCCTTGTGTCGAGAGCAGCGCTTGGAGCACAGAACGAAGCACATTGCTCTCCGCTACTTCCTTGCTCGTGAGCTGCAGCAGCGTGGTCAGTTGCGACTTGCGTACGTGGCCTCTGAGGCCAACACTGCTGATGTGTTCACCAAGGCACTCGCGCCTTGTGACCATCAGCGCTTTTGCACCCAGCTGGGTCTTGTGCCTGTCTTGCCTCACTTGCTCTCCTCTTGACTTCACTTGTACTGTGACATATATATATACCTGCTCTTGCTTGTCTAGTTTTATATATATGTCTGTACTCCTGCATGTGAACTGGCCTCTGGCCCTGCTCTTGTGCTCGGACTGTGTGGTGACTTTGTGATCCACCCTGAGCTTGCTTTGCTTTGCTTGACTGGTCTTGTGACCCCTTGTTCTCCCCCACTTTGCCTATGGGGGTGTGTCAAACATTATATATGTTATGCTTGTGTAGGCTACAGTGGGTTAGCCTATAGGGGGTACACAATTCTAGGGTTTCCTACTTGTACTCATTTCACTGCTAGTTCATTCATTCCTGTTCGCTTATTCTCACACTACAGTGGTGTACGCGCTGAGCGGGGACGCTAAGTAAGGAAAAAGGAATTTTCCTTACACCAACCGAGAAAGGACTTGGGTTTTCTTGCAGCTGACAGATTTTCCTCACAGTGTGTCAATAGGCCATGCTTTTGTAAATATCATGCAACAATACCAAATATGCAGTAATGGAACAAATATGTAGATCGATAAGAACTCCGCAACCCTACGACGACTTCGTCGCCTCTTGTTTTTTTTCACGTGAAGGTGATCACTCCAACATTTGAAGTTTTAGAAGGCTGCCTTCATATACGGTACTTTACCGAAGTTATTGGGCTGAACTGGTTTTACAAAGCATGACAATCCTACCCTATCAACATCTTCAAACTGCAATTTATACAATTTTGTGCAAAACCAAGCCAGCCTTGCAGTGCAGATCTTGAAGCTGGTGTAACTACAAGAAAGAGAGCAATTATGTCCTCACATATTTGAGCTTGAGAGCCTGCAGGGAAATGCTTAACACCAAAAAACACAAGGCAATGTCAACACAACCCCCCCGAAACGGCTTGCACATGCTCATGATTAATACCTGCAGTGAACAGGACCCACTTCTACATAGCCAACACATATGCACCTAAAATAACCTAAAACAAGACGTGCATCAAATGCACCATACAAGCATTGTATGGAAATAACTCGTGTGAAGCATGAGTCATTATCATGCATCAAGATACCTGCTGAAAATTTGCTAGCAGGAAGGAAGGCAAAAAAATATACCTTACACCACCCACCATTACAATCACACCACACCCCAGCATAGCACATACCACACATATGTATGACACATAACACAGCACATGTGCAGCTGACACCCTAGAAAACACAGAGCCCCGTATTCATGGGACATACCACCCTTGCGTGACATACACCAACCATGCACAGCGAATAAAAAAAAAAACTACTTCTTGAGTCGGCTAAAAAAGCGGCTCACACCCTAGCAAACAGAGCGCTCATTCATGGAAGAGCATACTAGAGCATACCAGCCTTGCACGGCATATACAACAAACCAACCATGCATGGCACATAATCCATCCATCCCTTGATGAGCCTGCTGGTGGGAAGCCAAGCAAGGGGCGTGGGCACTCCAGCCCAAGAAAGCTGAAAGAGCAACGAAAGAGAAAAAAATGAAAAGAAAGCATATTGGCGAACATGAGTCGACTCCAGAAGTCAACTAGTTTGGTTTCAGTGGTATTATGCAAGCGACTTCAGAGTCGGATTTACAAGTTTGCGTTCCAATGGTTCTATGCAAGCACTGGGCCTTCATGCCTAGGACTAACATAAACTCGGAGGGATGCACGCAGGACGTACATAGAGTTGGATATAAAAAGCACTGTTCTCGCCTTTAGATACAAATATTACCGCAGATGGCATACCAGTGCATACTGGTTGCCGCCGAATTCCTTGAGGTCCAAGATTTGCATGAGGGGAGACAGTCAGGATAGAAGGGGGGAGAGAGCGCCATTGTAGTCACTAAATCCTGAATGGGGGAGTCTTTAAACAGACCCAACCGCTGCCCATAACATCAAATGTGCCCCAACTTGGTTGGCACACTCCCTGCCTGTATCCATAGCCTCTCGTCTGAACCGAAGCAGTCGGCTTACCTGCTCCAGAAATTGCCTAAGAAAAATCGCCCTCCTCAACCAACACTCCCCCCCCTACCTACCAATGCCTTACTTGCACTCACCATATTACCTACCACTGACCCACGGCCCGTTCAAATCTTATGACAGTTGGGTAGGTAGGCAGAACCTGACTAGCGATTCTTCCCACAACACAGCAACCAGTGCGCCCCCCCACCCTCCATTGCGCCCCCTCACCCCCCAATGCGCCCCCTCACCCCCCAGTGCGCCCCCTCACCCCCCAGTGCGCCCCCTCACCCCCCAGTGCGCCCCCTCACCCCCCAGTGCGCCCCCTCACCCCCCAGTGCGCCCCCTCACCCCCCAGTGCGCCCCCTCACCCTCCAGTGCTTCCCCCCACCCTCCAGTGCTTCCCCTCACTTCCCAGTGCGCCCCCTCACCCCCCAGTGCGCCCCCTCACCCCCCAGTGCGCCCCCTCACCCCCCAGTGCGCCCCCTCACCCCCCAGTGCGCCCCGTCACCCCCCAGTGCGCCCCCTCACCCCCCAGTGCGCCCCCTCACCCCCCAGTGCGCCCCCTCACCCTCCAGTGCTTCCCCCCACCCTCCAGTGCTTCCCCCCACCCTCCAGTGCTTCCCCCCACCCTCCAGTGCTTCCCCCCACCCTCCAGTGCTTCCCCCCACCCTCCAGTGCTTCCCCCCACCCTCCAGTGCTTCCCCTCACTTCCCAGTGCGCCCCCTCACCCCCCAGTGCGCCCCCTCACCCCCCAGTGCGCCCCCTCACCCTCCAGTGCTTCCCCCCACCCTCCAGTGCTTCCCCCCACCCTCCAGTGCTTCCCCCCACCCTCCAGTGCTTCCCCCCACCCTCCAGTGCTTCCCCCCACCCTCCAGTGCTTCCCCCCACCCTCCAGTGCTTCCCCCCACCCTCCAGTGCTTCCCCCCACCCTCCAGTGCTTCCCCCCACCCTCCAGTGCTTCCCCCCACCCTCCAGTGCTTCCCCTCACTTCCCAGTGCGTCCCCAGTGCGCGCCTCACCTCGCCTCTGGCCTGGTAGATGTAGTCTAGGCCCGTGAAGAAGGGCGGATGGTCCACTGCCTTGAACTGCCGGGGTGAGTGTGCCCCCTCACCCCCCAGTGCGCCCCTTCACCCCCCTTCACCCCCCATCCCCCCACATCACCCCCCATCCCCTTTCCCCACCCTCTCCCCTCCCCTCCAGTGCGAGGCTCACCTCGCCTCTGGCCTGGTAGATGTAGTTCAGCCCCGTGAAGAAGGGCGGATGGTGGCATGGCAGTGCTACCGACACAGTGGTTACCACGTAACATGTGGTAAGTAACCCTTTCAAGCCTCACCTCGCCTCTGGCCTGGTAGATGTAGTCCAGCCCCGTGAAGAAGCCCGGGTGGGATAAGTCGATTTTTGAGTCGACTAAAAAATCGACTTATCACACAAGAAGCCTGGGTGGTGGCATGGCAGTGCCCACCAAGACCAATTGATCTCTAGTAGCCGTTCCGCCCCTCACCTCGCCCCGGGCCTCCAGCCCTGTGAACAAGGGCGGATGGTCCACTGCTTTGAACTGGCTGAGTAAGTGCGCCCCCCCACTCCCCAGTGTGTAGAGTCCCCCCCTTCCCCCCAGTGCGCCCATTTTTGAGTCGACTCAAAAATATGTGAACAAGGGCGGATGGTCCACTGCTTTGAACTGGCTGAGTAAGTGCGCCCCCCCACTCCCCAGTGTGTAGAGTCCCCCCCTTCCCCCCAGTGCGCCCCCTCACCCGCCAGTGCGCCCCTCCCATCCGCCCCAGTCTGTGCCCCTCACGCTCACCTCGCCTTGGGCCTGGTAAATGTAGTCCAGCCCCGTGAAGTAAGGCGGGTGGTGGCATGGCAGTGCCAGTCAGGTGGTTAAAGCCCAACCAAGCTTACACACACCCCACAACACACCGCGCGCCTTGCCTCGCCTCGGGTCTTCACGTCCAGACCTGCGTGAAGAAGGGCGGATGGTCCACTGCCTTGAACTCCCAGGGGGCGTGCGCGTAGGGTGAGTGGGCGACGGGGGACCAGGAGGGGAGTGGGCGGGGAGGGAGCTTGAGAAGGGTAGCAGGAACGAGGGAAGCGGGAGCAGGGGGGGCTGGAAGAGGGGAAGCGGGAGATGGGGGAGAGGGAGAGCGGGGAGAGGGAGCAGGGAGAGTGGGTGAGGGGGAAGTGGGGGAGGGAGGAGTGGGTACAGCGGGAGTGCGCAAGGAGGCATGGTGGAGTGAATGCGGAAAGGGAAACGGGAAAGAAAGGGAAGAGGGAAAGTGGGGAAGAGAGAGAGGGGGGAAATTTAGGGAAGACGGGGGAAAGGCAGGGAAGAAGGGGGGAAAGGAAGGGAAGAAGGTGGGGAAACGCAGGGGGGAGGGGAGGAAACGCAGGGCAGAGGGGGGGAAACGCAGGAAAGAGGAGGAGAAGGGGGGAAACGAAGGGCGGGGCGGACGGGGGGGAGAAAAGCAGGGGGGAGAAGGGGGAAACGCAGGGGAAAAAGGGTGAAACACAGGGAAGAGGGGCAAAACGCAGGGAAGAGGAGGGGAAATTGTCAGTTAAGAAAGGTGGGATGGTCCAGTGCCTTAGCTAAAGGAATGTGGAACGAGATGGCTGTTTTGCATTGTCTCAACAGGGAAAATGTGCGAACGTGGGTAAGGAGGGGCGGGAGGGACGGGGAGGGGGAAAGGGGGGAAGAGGGGGATGGGGAGGGGGAGCGGGTGGGGGAGGGGAGAGAGAGGGACTAAGCAAAGGGATGAACGGACGTTTCATTGCCTCGAACTGACACACGGATGGCGATGAAAAAGACGACGGGAGAGGGGGGATGAGAAGGGGGAGAGGAGGGGTTGGGGAAGAGGAGGGCAAGGAGAGAGAGAGGAGTGCAGATAAAAGAGAGATGGAGGGACGAGGACAAAGACGAAGGGCGGATAGAGGGACACGGATGGAGAGGAAGATGGCAAAGGGGAGCGCGGAATGTGGAGGGTGGGGAGTGAAGAGAGGAGGTCGGGAGGAGGGGGAGGAGTGGCAATGCTCTCATATCCCCAATGCCCTCTCACCCCCCATTCTCTCTTACCCAAATGCCCTCTCAGCCCCCATTCTCTGTTACCCCAACGCCCTCTCACCCCCAACGCCCCCCTACCCCCACCCACTCCTCTGAGTAACCCCTTACCTCCATGCTGTTAAGTTACTTCTCCTTATCCACACACGTGGTGTTGCCCTTGCCGACTGCTCACACGGAGGGGCACGGGATTGACATCGCATGGACAACGGATCGAGGCGCGCTTTGAGTCGAGTTGATTCGCGATGGAGGAATCGAAATGCTGTAACAAAAGCGGGGTGGAACTTGGAAGACGAAGAGACGAAAGGAAAGACGAAAAAAGCCTTGCTTTTCAGAAGCGTCGCAGGCAGCTCACGCGCAGGCACCACTGCGCGCCGCTGCCAATAGCCGGCTGGCGGGAAGGATTTTTTAGGCGCCTCAAAAATCGCAAGCAGGGCGGGGCAGGTGCGCCGTCCGTCAGCAGCAGCCACGACCACGGCCTGACACGTCACTGCTCGCCGCTGCCTGCCAATAGTTGGCGGGAAGGAGGATTCCTGGGGAGGGGGCGAGGGCACGAGGGGAGGGAGGAGTGGAAAAATGCGAAGCCTCAGTAAAGGCGCTGAATGCGGTGATTACCAAGAAGAGAGGCAGCGGGTATAGACCAGGGGCGTTCAACATGGAAGACCAGTACGGAAGGCACGGCATGTTGCGGACATCGATGGAGATGGGTCAGTGCGTGCAGGAGATATGGACGCACGAGGAGGAGAGCACTGGGATGGTAGAGAAAGTAAGGAATGGGACGGGAGCCGGGAACGGGAGAGTGGGGAGGAGTAAAACCGCTCGCCTTCCGTCACGGAAGGCGAGGGTGTAGTGAGCCTGTTGAAAAAAGACATAGGTGCAAGCGAGTCTGCGGAATGCCGCGAGGACGCAGAACATTATTCGAGGGACGACGATCCTTAGCATCGCTGTGGTGTGGAGGCGGAAGGAGGTGAGTGACGGTTGACGGTTGCGACTGTCGGCGGTGTGACTGACGGCGGTGTGACTGACGGCGGTGTGACTGACGCGGTGTGACTGACGGCGGTGTGACTGACGGCGGTGTGACCGACGGCGGTGTGACTGACGGCGGTGTGACTGACGGCGGTGTGACTGACGGCGGTGTGACTGACGGCGGTGATGGACGGGATCGCACCTGAGCATCGCTGTGGAGGCGGTGGTGGTGACGGAAGGCACACGAGCGGAGCGAGCTGCGAGAGCACCTTCTGAGGCGACTCAAAAAGTCACCTCGCTGCCAGAGCACCAAGGCGGAATGCAGGTCACCAAATAGGAGGGAAGGGCGGGCAAGTAGTCACCGTCAATGAATAGGAGGAGCGGATGGGGAGAAGCAGAACAGGTGAGCGAATGGCTCACAGCGGGTACGGATATACAGGGCTTCGGGAGTGCAATGAATACACTGTTGGGTAAAAGGCAGCGGTTAAGCTGCCGTAGACGCTCGTTAGATGGAGACAGATGGCACACATCTAACGGCTAGCACAGGTCCTCGAAGAGTTAAATAACAGACGCACAACTTCATCAATGGTAACTCTCAGTAAACGGAACTTGTTGTAGAGGACTCTCCTCTAATTTGCAGAAATTATGAAATCTTCTAAGCAATAGAGCTCTGTATTAGCTTTCCAACGAGCCGTCAAACACGTCGATCCCCTAAGAAACGAGCGAGCTATGGATGGCGTTGGGCTTAAAAAATCCCTTAGGATCTTTGCAGGGGTGAATGAGAAGAAACGAGTGGATGAATGGACTACGAAATAGTTGGGTACAAGTACTAATCCTAATTGGGTTGTACTCCATATGGGCTACCCCACTACAGCCTACACAAATGTATAAGCTATAATGTTCAGACACACCCCTATAGGCAAAGTGGGGGAGAACAAGTGGTCACAAGACCAGTCAAGCAAAGCAAGCTCAGGGTGGATCATAAAGTCACCACACAGTCCGAGCAAAAGAGTAGGGCCACAAGGCCAGTTCACAGGCAAGCACATATATATATATAGGTAAAACAAGCAAGGGCACGTATAGAAAGAATACAGTACAAACAAGATCAAGAAGTGAGCAAGTGAGGCCAGGTAGGCACAGGACCTAGCACAGTACAGTAACGCTGATGATCACAAGGCGGAAGTGCCTTGGTGAAAACATTAGCAGTGTTGGCCTCAGAGGCCACGTAGGTGAGGCGGAGCTGACCACGCTGCTGCAGCTCACGAGACAGGAAGTAGCGGAGAGCAATGTGCTTTGTTCTGTGCTCCAGTCTGTGCTCTTGACAAAAGGCCAGCATGGCCTTGTTGTCTACGTACAGAACTGGAGGAGAACGAGGTGGCTCTCCTAGGTTAGTGAGCAGGTAGGTGAGCCAGCGTAGCTCCTGTGCAGCCATGGCCCCGGCGTAGATCTCAGCCTCACAGCTGGAGCCGAAAACAGAGGACGAGCGGGTAGACCACCACGAAACAGAGCCGGAGCCAAGGCTGAAGGTGTAACCCTGTGACGACTGCTGCGTAGCCTGGTCGTCAGCCCAAGAAGCGTCTGCGTGACCTGTGAGGACTACTCGACGTCGCCCTCCAAGCACTAGCCCCATGCTCGACGTACTGCACACGTAGCGCAACACTCTCTTCGCTGCAGCCATGTGCTCCGGTCTGTGTCTCCCAGGAGCAACATAGCGTGCCAAGATGCTAAGAGGGTATGCAAGGTCAGGTCGTGTGCAGGTCATCAGGTACATGAGGCAGCCAACAAGCTCTGGGTACGGGCCACTCGACTCTACGGACTTATCCGAAGGCAGAGCTGAGAGCGAGTGGCGAGTAGACAGAGGAGTGGCCTGAGGCGAGGAGTACGTGAAGCCGAAGCGCTGAAGGACCTTTTGCACCATGTGTGACTAAGTCAGGGTAATGGTGCGCTGTGCTCTGTCCTAGGTGATCTGCAAGCCAAGGTAGCTGCGCAGTTCACCCAAGTCTGTGCACGTGTGTCTCTTCTGCAGCTCGGACTTCACGTAGGCGAGTCCACCAGTGTCAGCTGTGGCAAAGACCAAGTCGTCCACGTACACGAGGATGTAGAACGGCGGCAAAGAGGTGTCGGTGCGTAGAAACAGGGACGGGTCGGCTGTAGAAGGAGAAAACCCAAGAGCCGCAAGTGTAGTCCTTAGTGTGTCGTGCCACTTACGGGGCGCCTGGCGGAGACCGTAGACTAGACGCCGGAGGCTCCACTGGGTACCAAGAGGAAACGACCCAGTGAAGCCAGGAGGGCGGCGCAGCCAGATCTCCTCGTGCATGCTGCCCTGCAGGAAAGCTGTGCTGAAGTCAAGAGAGTGAAGCTCGTAGTCGCGCTGAGCGGCTATGTGCAGCAGCACCCGAAGAGTGGTCATCTTCGGGGTGGGAGAGAAGGTCTGAAAGTAGTCAACTCCCTGCCGCTGACTGAAGCCTCGAGCCACGTAACGCGCCTTGAAGACAGGCGGAGAGCCTGGCGGCCGCTTCACCCTGAAGATCCACATCCCACTGACGATGTTCGCCCCAGGTGGGGGAACCTCGTCGACGTAGGTGCCTGTGGACTTCTAGGAAGCCATCTTTGCGTCCATGGCTGATTGCCATTGAGAGGAGTAGGGACCCTCGATCGCCTAAGCGTACGATCGAGGAGTCGGGATGTCTGGTGCATTCGGGTCTCCCTCAGGGGCAATCAGCGTGGACACGAGATGGGACAAAGCAGCAGCAAAGCACTGGAACTCCTCCTGCGTGTCCTGAAGGACGCACGTGCTAAGAGCACACTCACCCCCGACGGACAGAGGACAGACGGACTCAGACTCAGCAACAAGACTGGCAACGTAGTGTAGACGACAGCGAGCAGCAAAGTCGACAAGCTCAGCAACTAGAGCAGACGCAGCAGTGGACTCAAAGGAAGGGTCAGTGACAACAGTAGCAAGAAGGCGCGTGAGTGAAGGACTAGCAGTACAAAGGGAGTCAGACTCCGGGTCAGCAAGACAAGGAAGAGAGGACTCTGGAGGAGACGGCAAAGGGACACGCAGAGGAGCTGTGGACGGAGTGCCATCTGGTGTATGCCGGGGACCGCAGGAGGACGCGGACGCGCAGTACGACGACTGGTGCGAGCAGCACGAACAGGCGACACAGGACGAGACGCAGGCTCACGACGCTCAGCAAGACCTCCAGTAGGACCAGTGTAGGGAGAAGGAGCAGGTAGTGGGGAGGTGGGCTGTAACTGTGAGTGCGACTGGACAGGCTGTGGACACTCTTAGGGAGGAGCAGGACCAGTAGAGGGAGGGAGACCAAGAACCTGCTCCAGAAGCGGAACGAAGTACGGCCTCGGCCGCTCAGCGCCTCCAGAACCAGTAAGGATGGCACCAGTACCCCTAGCGGCAGCACTAGCGCCAGCAAAACCTCCAGCTCCAACAGCGCCAACTCGAGTACCCTCAAAAGCACCAGCGGCAGCAGCACCGCTAGCTCCAACACCCCCAGCAACTCCAGCTCTAGCAGCACCAACTCCAGTAGGACCGGCAGCAGGAGCTGCCTCAGCCGTACCCCCAGACGCACCTGCACCAGTAGAAACACCAGTGCCAACACCCCCAGCAGCTCCAGGCTCAGCAACACCAACTCCAGTAGGACCGTCAGCACCAGCTGCCTCTACAGCACCCCCAGACGCACCAGCACCAGTAGAAACACCAGCGCCAACACCTCCGGTAGCTCCATCACCAACAGCAGCTCCAGCAGCACCCCTAGACTCAGCAGCACGTCTCTAGCTGCGGGCGAACCACTCGCGCAGCTCCTGTGGAGAGAGCGGCTCCCGCCTCGACGAAGCACCGCCGACAGCCACACGAGTAGATCCAGCACCCCCAGGCTCCGCACCCCAGAGCTCAGGACCCCCAGGCTCAGCACCCCCAGGCTCAGCACCCCCAGTCTCAGCACCCTCAGACTCAGCACCCCCAGACCCGGCACCCGCAGACCCGGCACCCGCAGGCT